GCGAAGTTCTGTAGCCAGGTTCTTTCCAGGATCTTTTGCCATGTTCTCTCCCTAGGTTCTGTCTCTAGGTTCTGTCTTTCGGTTCTTCAGCCAGGTTCTCTCGCTAGGTTCTGTTTCTAGGTTCTGTGTCTAGGTTCTCTCTCCCAAGGATATTTTTATCTCTAATTGTTGAACAGATTGGAAGGGGCGGAGGTTAAAGTGCCCAAGAGAAACATCAATGTGAGATACCGATTAGAAGCCTCCTGCACTTGCCCCAACTGGGGACAGGGATGTAAGGCACAACCAAGGTATGTGTCCTCGACCAGGAATTGAACCTGCAAACATCCAGTCCTCAGGCCAACACTCTAAACATTGACTCACACCAGCCAGGGCTCTAAAATTAAATTAAAAAAAAAGATCATACTCTCTCAGTAGGAATGGCTTCATTATAAGAGATGCTAACATTTTTTCTTGCTAGGTTTGTGTTCTTTGATAATATTCTTAAATTTATAAACCTCAGATAACTCATAAAGGAGATAACAAGTCTCATATATCTTGTTAAGGAGCATGTGATTTTATATATATTTCACTACGGTACCTTTTGGAAATGCATCCAATACATTATAGTACATATTTCAGTATTTAGATAAGCAAGGCAAGCTATTCCAGACCCCTGGTTGCTGGCCTTACACTCATGCCAGCCCTAGATATACCTTGTTGAAAACAAAAGGTCACACATGTCCATCATCACACAAAGCTATGCCATGACTATGATGAATCAAGACAAAGGCATTGATGTCTGCATACTTGATGAAAGAGAACAGGTTTCCAAAGAATAAAAATAACAAAAACTCCCCTTTTCTCACTAGTATGATTTGTGCTTCTTACAATTTAGGTTCGGCAAATCATATATTCTGTGCTCTATATAAAAATGGTTATCATTACCCGAGGTAGAATTAAGTTCATTTCCTCACAAAATGCAGTGCAGGAAAATGTCTTGTTTTCCTGAATGGCAATCAAATCATCTATCACAAAGGAAATGAACGAAATCCCTTTAAGTGTGCTGTTACATCATTTTTGGTTTGTGGTCATTCTCTTTTGAAAAATCTTCACAGAGGATGTTTGTTGACTTTCTTTTCTTTTTTGTACAGTAGAACCTCAACTCTCAAACTTAATTTGTTTAGGAAGGCTGTTTGAGAAGGGATTTGTGCGAAAACCGAATCATTTCCCCCCCCCCCCATTAGAAATCATATAAATTGAATTAATCTGTTCCAGAAACCAAAAATGATTCCCTGTTAAAACCTTTCTTATATACTGCACATGTCTAATGTACTGTGTAATCTATAAATAAACACTTCTTTTGTTCAATTTATCAAACCACCCCCTACTAGCTCAAAGGAATCACTTTCAGCATTCAGGTGAAGGGTGTCTTTCAGGTCAGTATGTAACATCTTTACTTGTTCCATTGCCTCCAAAATGGCTGTCACTGGCTAACTGCTTTTCCTTTATCCAAATCAACAAGTTTTAATATCTCTTCAGTGGCCTGTGATCATTGTTTCACTCACACCTTTAACAACATTAGCACTCCCGTGCTAATCACTGATTCCACCCCCCAAAAAAGCACTCTCTCCTTTGTTGCCTAAAAGAACCTTTTAGTCATGCTAAGTGAGGTATCAGCTTGAAGACTGTCAGTTACAAAATTGAAGTTTGGTTCCCCTTTGACACATTTTTTTCTGTGTACAATTTAGTCAAGAACAGAATTTTTCGAGATGAGAGACATTTGAGAAATGATGTTTGACTGTACATATTTTTATATTTATTTTTATTGTTGACTATATTACAGATGTCTTCCTTCCCCCATCCACCGCTGTTTATTGATTTTTTTCCAAGAGAAAGAAACATCTATGTGAGAGAAACATTGAAAGGATGCCTTTCCTATGTGCCTGAACCAGGGACTGAATCCAAAATCTGGTTATGTGCCCTGACCCTGAATGGAACCCATGACATTTCAGTGCACGGGAGGATGCTCAACTGAGCAATGCTGGGCAGGACAGTTTGTGGTTATTTATATTATTTGAATACATTTCATTACATCCCTTTTAAAAATAGGGATGTGATTTTGTTGATGTTTGGCTAGAAGGAACTTTAAAACTGTCCCATGGTTCCTTTGCACTGCACCATTGAAACTGTCACAGTGGGATCTGAATCACAGTCAATAGTAGTATGAACAGGACAAGATGATTACTAGTCAAATTAGACCTCATGCAAATGCAATCTAGAGAACAGTGCGTACCCTTCAGAAAACAGCCTAAACCATGATAGTCCACATTTGTTGCGTGGTAGACACCTATGGGATTGCAGGAAAAGCCAACCTATAGTGGATCTTTAATGTTGAATTGTGAACAGCTATAAAGCTTACACCCAACATCAATGGAAGTAAAGCAGTGGCTGGCAGTTTTGAGGATTTCTTGGCTGGCAGGACAAAGATCAAGAAAAACAAACTAAAATATTCTCTTCTTAATGTAAACATAGCACAGTTTCCAGCCAAAAACACAAAAACCAACCATGAAATAATTCACATGGGACTCTCCAGTGAACTGTAAGTACAAATATATGGCAAATACTTATTAGCTAAAATAGTAGTGAATTTCAAGTGCAATTCAAAAATTAAAAAAGAACACATATGTGTGTAGGGTTTATTCATTCAATACCTGTCAGGGCACATCACTGGGTAGAAGAATCTATCCCTGGTCAGGCACATGGGAAAATAACCCATCTATGTTTCTCTCTCACATGAATGTTTCTCTCTACTCTCTCTCTCTCTTTCCCTTCCTCACTTCAAAAAAGCAATTTAAAAACTAACAAAAAGGAGAACCAAGATGGCGGCATAGGTAAACACCGGAGTTTGCTGCCTCGAACAACCACTTCAAAAATACAACTAAAAGATGGAAAGGACATCATCCAGACCCACAGGAAGGCTGGTTGAGTGGAAATTCTACAACTAGAAGGAAAGAGAAAAGCATACCGAGACTCAGAGGCGCAGTGCGGAAGTAAAATACTAAGGTGCGGAGTGCATGCAGAGCGGGCTGGCGGCTGAGGGCGCGGTTGTCGTTTTCAATCAGGAGGGAGTCTCAGGCTCTGAGCTCCAGTTCTGGGCGAGTCTCTAGGGACCCAGACTCATACGGGAGAAGTGGGACTGTCTGGCATCGGTCAGAACCGGAAGGCAGCTTTCTCTCCGAGGGGCTTGCAGCGATTACCAGGACACTGAGAAGCAGAGCCTCTGAGGGCAAGACTGAGAGCAGCCATAACTGCTAGCAGCACCCTGTTGATCCCGTGGGACCCACACCGCCCAAGCCCTGCTGGGAGGCTTTTGCTGGATAGCCTAAGGCAGAGGCTAGATTAGCACCTCCCTAGAGATCCAGGAGCCAATGTACCCAGAGGTCAGAGTGGGACCATCCAGTTTGCAGCTCCGTGGAACCATAAAA